GAAGGAAGGAAAGAAAGGAGGAAGGAAGGAAGGAAGGAAGGAAGGAAGGAAGGAAGGAAGGAAGGAAGGAAGGAAGGAAGGAAGGAAGGAAGGAAGGAAGGAAGGAAGGAAGGAAGGAAGGATCTAAAACTAACAATGGTCCAAATGGAAATTTGCAAAGCTAGTGGCCTGCATTGTTCATTCCAAGAACTTCAGCAGGTCCCATATCTTAGCAGAACATCATTCTTCTTTAACCTTCTTTTCATAGAATGGCTTAGTGGCATGGGCAAAAGAATGGAGACACATGGTTGTGTATCCTAAAAGACAGTGTAGTATTAATTGTGTAAATAGCATTGGCGTTATCATCTATTTTGCCTAATCCTTTAATCTAGTTCAGACTTTTATTTTGTGAATGTATACCCTCCTTCATTTTGTATGCTTTAGCTCAAGTAATAAAAAAATTATCTATCATCTTTCTTTCTGTCTTTCCGTCTCTCTCTCTCTGTATCTCTATATATATCTCTCTCGTCTACAGTAGCTATCTACCTATCCCTGCCATCAATCAAACAAAATGGCTAGCCATCTTCCTTTACAAAATAGGCAGTCATTCCTGATAAATAGTAAAAGAATAGAAAAAAAAATTATCTTCTATCAGGATCACAGCAGGATCTTGATAAGAATCTCATAAGTTGACTGGTTCCCTTGCCATTAAGGCTCTATTTATGCTTTGCCTCTTTCGTGACACATGCCAGGAATAATAGAAACATTTCAGCATTTTTTAGAAATATTGCAGCTCCATAATGTCAGCCATAAAGCTCTCCATAAAACTAGGGTATGGTAACTATTCCCAGTTCTGCAGAACACTAATTTGCAAATGTGACTGTTAATAGAAACTTATTGTTAGAACTTGAAATCAAAGTTTCCAGTGTTTCTTGAAGCCTCTGTGGATTAACTTTTAGGAGTGCTTATGGAGTTTTATGTCAGCAGTGCAAGTTTCTGCCTTAATTTAGAAGCCGTGCCAAACTGCACTTTTGCCCACTGCCAGCTGGATCATTTCACAGGGCCTTTTGTGTACTTGATTCCTCTTTGTACACAAGGATACTTGGTATAAGGGAAGTGTAATGAAAGACGAAGTTGCCAAACTTCTACTTGTCAAATGGTCTGGTTGTTGGCTCCTTCCTGAGCCATTACAATATTAATGAACATGATGTTAGACTATGAGAATATTAATGAACTATTAGTAGTGCAGTAAATGAACTATTGGCTTAATGCAGGACAACAGCATCAAAAGTTGTAGTTCATTTGGGCTTCAATGACAACATTTGTTCTTTGGGAAGGCCTGCTTCAAAAACCTTTTTTTCTAAATATATTGGCTTTCCCCAAGAGTTTTTCAGCTAGTTAACAGAATAACAGAGTTAGAAGGGGCTTTGGAGATCTTTTAGTCCAGCCCCCTGCTCAGGCAGGAAACCCTATACCATTTCAGACAAGTAGCTGTCCAGTCTCTCTTAAAAACTTCCAGTGTTGAAGCATTCACAACTTCTGGAGGCAAGTCGTTCCACTGGTTAATTGTTCTCACTATCAGAAAATTTATCCTTAGTTCTAGGTTGCTTCTCTCCTTGATTAGTTTCCATCCGTTGCTTCTTGTCCTGCCTTCAGGCGCTTTGGAGAATAGCTTGACTTCCCCTTCTTTGGGGCAGCCCCTGAGATTTTGGAACAGTGCTAGC